GGAAGAATTCTGGATCCCGATTCAATTTATTTGCCATCTGCCATCGTGCCATCATGAGCAAAACATTTACTGCCGCGGAGCTTGCTGCTTTCGATGGAACGGACCCAAGCAAGCCGGTCTATCTTGCCATCAAAGGAACCGTTTTTGATGTTTCTGTGGTTCGTAGTGCCACACCATATCAACATCTTTTACTCTGGGACTTTTGGAACTGTCGATTAGATCGACCGATCGACAGCGGACCACCTGGATATGAGACTCCAACAAACCAATGGACGATATACAGTACCGAGCTTTCATATGACTTGGGATTCGAAATGAACCGCATAACTTTCACATACACCTCTGGGCTGAACTGATTAATGGTCTGTTTGCAGGGGCGAGAAATGTATGTACCCGGAAAAGGATATTCAGTTTTTGCTGGGAAGGATGCTTCGAGGGTGAGCTCTGTCGTTATTTTGCTCGGAGGAGTTCTTGAAATAGAAATGGCTTTGGCAGGCGCTCGCGAAAAGCTCGCTTAAGCCTGAGGATTGTGTTCCCGACACATCTGGGCTCACGGACGAAGAGGTTCGCGCAAATTGCGAAAGTCACAACCTCCCAAGCATTTAATTCTGTTATCCCACCTGTTAGACCGAAACTTTGAACAAGTGGGAAGCACACTACCGGAAGAAGTATACAGTGGTTGGGAAGGTGAGACTCTACTGGAGGAATTTGACAAACGATTTTTGATGGGGCATATACTTTGGTGTTCCTTTTCCCCTCCGTTTCGCTAGCTCTCCCAATAATTGAACGCCAAAGTGAGACCTCACAGCACAAGTTCAAGGGAAGGGATACCTCATATTCGTAACCTTGAGCTGTATTATTTGATTGGTGTCGAATCGGGCATTGTCAAGAAGGGGGGCGATGACTGATTGGACAATAGAATATGACTACAGTAAAACTGACCAAGACTAGAGGTTTTTCTAACCCACCGCTTTGACCGACCCCGGCATCGAAGCAGCTCGTAACCTTGGAAGGTATGCTTCATTTGATCACTGCCAAACTAGTGGCGGATTCTGCCAGTCTCTCTTGGACGCCGGAAACCCACCGTTGGCAAACACGCTCACGCCTTCTCTATCTCCTCCTTGACCACCCAACGGCTCCATCTCGCTTAAATTCCCATCACTTAACTGTTCCTTCGTGCACAAATTGGATTTTATCCTTGACTCTCTCCTTCAAATTGGCGGGCTGGAATTGGTTCAATACCCGCAGTACCCGTTACCACCACCGGCTTCTTTCCAACTTCCCGCCCTCCTTGACCCATTTCCTCAATCTTCTTGTACTCCCCTTCCCTTTGCTTCGGTTCTCTTCCCGAATCAATCTTTGAGGTTGTCGAATCCAATGACAGATAATACAACAAGATCGCAATCGTCTCGCGGGTCGAAGGCTTCAACGTCTGCTCAACCGATATCGGGGACCTCCTCTGACAACCCTCTCATCTCCGTGAAACACAAGTATGCTTTGGAACTCAAGTCACTGAAGGAATTATTCTATCCGGAATGGGACGAGGACAGTCTCATTATGGCTCTCCAGGAGGTTGAGTTCGATATTGATGCCGCTATTGAGCGGATCTCTCAAGGTTGGGGCTCCTCCGATTCACTGGGGAACGTCTGCACGGATTGATATATTTTAAATCTTCCCCCTTTGTCGATTCTGTTTTGCGTGACATCGCCGATTCTAAATGTCGAAATCATTAATCGATTTGCAATTCAAAAGGCCATGCTGGAATGTGGCATGAAGTGAAGAAAGAACACACCAAAGAAAAGTCTTCCTCACCGGCTCCTACTCCACACTCTGCGGGACAAGTAACAGGCACAAATGGAACGATCAAAGCAAATGGCGAAACGGTCGCAGCACCCGGCAGGGGTGGCCTCGCACCAAGAGGAGGATTTCGTGGTGCCCGTGGAGGTATGTGTTCGCATGACTTCATTACGCTCCGAGTGTTGTTTGATAGCCTCTCTAGGTGGCGTCGCTGGAAGAGGCGGGCGTGGCGGCGGACGGGGTGGTCGAGGAGGATTCAGTGGTTCCAGTACGTCCACCCGAGAGCAACATCCTTTCCAAAACTTTGCTCGACCTCATCAAATTCTATCAGGTCGCGGGAAGCCCTCTCCGTCACCCGATGTCAGCCTTGACGGTGGTCCCACTGACAGCAATGCGGATGGGGCATTGTCGGGGGCAGTGTGGGGTGACGCACCCCCACAGGACGAACAACCATCGGAAATCACAGGTGGATGGGGTGACGATACTAGTCCCAGCGCCGAAAAGTCCGCCGAAGCTCAAAGCAAGGTAAACGGGAGGGGTGAGCCAACGGAAATCACTTCCTCTGCTCCTTCGTCGTCCGCAACTCAAAAGCCTGTGGAGAAACGAGCATCTCCGTCTAAATCGAGGCCAGCAAATCTCCCGACGGCGGCTCCAGCACATGCCCCAACATCGACACCTCCGGTTACATCTGCTGCTCAGCAATCCAAAGCGAAGCCCACTAGCTGGGCTGCAGTGGTCAAGTAAGCTCGCTCTCCAGCATATTGGGGTGAAAATGTATTTACACCTGACCATTCGTTCCAGGCCCGCTCCCCCGCCAGAACCGAAAGTGGTACCGCAAAACTCCGCCAACAAAGTTCAGGAGCAAGTTGCTCCCAAACCCGTCTCCAAAGTGATCACGCCCCCGCCGAAGCCTTCAGACGTCGTGAGCTCTCTCCCAGTGCAGGCGTCAGCAGAATTCCCGGCGCCAGCGAGAGAGTCGACTGAAGCAAAACGACTACCCCCTGGTTTGAAACAACCTGCACCGCCAACGAGTGTTATGCTGAAGCCTGCAAACCCAGCCACTGCGCCTTCTCCTCAGCCCGCCATTGTTCCCCAGGGTGCAACGGCATCTCAACCTCGAAAAGCCTTGAAGCAAGATGTGGCGGTGGTCATGCCGGTACCTGACCTGGCCGAGAAGCTTGCGAGTGTCGGCGTTGGCGTCAAATTCGGGACTGTTGACTCCCAAGAAGCACCTCGGAAACCTGCGGTGCAACCACAAGTTGTAGGACCAAACGTAGCGGTTGCCCCCGCGACCTCGCCCCAGGTCGCCCCTTCCATCCCTCAGAAGAGCGCCCCAACTCCCCCACCATCGGCTCCTGCCCAGCAGTCCAGAACTGCGAGTCCCCAGAGGGCTCCGATCCAAGAGTTGGCACAATCTCCCGGGTTACCACTAGCGATTACTGAACAACTGGCAATTGTGGATTCAAGCGAGTCTGAACCGGTTGAGGTTCCATCTCTCGAAGGGGGCGCTCCGCTCGAGTGAGTGAGAATTTTTTTTTTTTTTTGCTCCTTACATATACGTTATTTGGTGGTTGTCCGTCTCTTTAGTGTGACTCCAAGTGCTCCCGAAGAATCTTCTACCCAAGCTCCAGCCCCTCAACCACCATCGCAACCTGTTGCGGCAATCACCGCTCCGACTCCCATCTCTCAACTTTTGGCGGCCACTTCCACTCCTTCGCAGCCGCAGAGCAACGCCGCTCCCGTTGCCGCGACGCAACCCGGTGTCGGTGCCAATGCCACTCAACGCCAGCAGGGACAAAGTGGGGTAGCTGCGCCGCAACTTTGGGGAGAGAATCCTGCGGCTGCTGCTTCAGGACTGCAACAGAGTGCGTTGCCGAGTTGGCAGGCGTTCCAAGGAATGGGTTGGGGCGGAGACTACGCCGCAATTTATGGTGGACTCGGGCAACAAGGTGTTGAGGCAGGGCGAGGATTGATGGTAATGTCAACTTTGTTTTTTTGCGGTAACAACCAGAGCGAAATTGATAAACATCATTCTTCAGGGCTACTACGACCCACAATCGGTGTATAATGCTCAAGCCTCAGCTGGTGCTGGATTTGGACAAGCGACGTCAGCGTCAAACGTTGGGCAGCCCTTGACGGGTCGTGAATCTTCGAAGTTCCCTACTCAGGGAGAAGGACAAGGGACGGTCCAACAGCAGCAACTTCCCACCTCCAGCGCGTCGACCACAGTATCTCCCCAACAAGCACCTTCTGCTGCAACACCTGCGGCACAAACTGGCTACCCCAACATGGGTTTGCCATATGCCTACTACCCTTACGGCTACCCAATGGGACAGTTTGCAGCGGCACCACAATACGCTCAGAGGAATATGTACCCTGCAATGTATCAGCTCCCACAACAATCGTCAGCCCAAGGCAGTGGGCCAAGTGGTGGAAACTCTCCTGCGCCTGGCCATAATTTGCTACCTCAGCAGCAGCAAGTTCCCCAACATGGCCTCTCAAAGACGCCACAGCAGGCGAGCTCGCAGTATGGGTACGGAGGAAGTCTGTTCCCTTATGCTGCTCAGGAAGCTCAGGCTGGAGGAATGGGTGGTCACACAGTGTCCCAACTGAGCGAGTATGGCAAGACTGTGTACGGAATGGGAGTGCCTGGCTTTGGGTTCTCGACGAACCTTCAAGATGGTGGAATGCCAATCGGCGCGAAGCAAGTTGGTGTTGGCCCCAGCAACCTTGGAGGCCTTGCGGCTCAGGGATATGGAAAGGTATTTTCTCGGCTTTATGAAAACCGTTTCGAGGGATCGTTGCCGACATCTTTTGTGTCCAGCAGAGCTATGATTCCCACAAAGCAGCCGCGTCCGGCTACCAACTTCCATCGGGAGCTTCGCAAGCATCCCAACAACAAAACATGAACCAGGCTTACTTTGCGGCAGGCGCTGGTCAGTTCGGCCCGCAAGGATACCCGAGCTACGGGCATCATCAATCGGGGGGGTATGGAGGTCGTGGCTCCCAGGGTTACTGGGGCCAGAGTTGAAAATGTATCATGCATTTTATACTTTTGAACATAGTTGGGCAATACATTGCTGACTGGCTGAACGTTTGAAGGTGAGAGGGGCGGCAGGAGAGTAGAAACTTCCAGACTTTGGCTCAATATTGCTAAATTAAAACTAATATATATGCAATACGCTACATAGCAGCAAGCCCGCGTCCCATTGGAACAGTGGATTAGTTCGTCTGACTTCTAATCAGAAAGTCGTGGGTTCGACCCCCACATGGGATGCTCATCATCGTTTTTGCACCACGACTGCACGTCAGTGATAATTAATTTTGCCCACGAAATCGAGGGAGGAAGAGCGTTCCCAAGTCATGAATGCCGGAGTCGTGTGGAAAACTGGAATCTTGATCAACCGTCATTGCATGGTAATAAAGCCTTGAACCATCCCTTTCACATATTCATACAGAGAAGCCCGAGGCGATCCCACTGCTGAATGCAATCGCGCAATGCCAGATACCATCACTCCCAACGATTCCATGCCGAAACCATCAGTTCTTGCTGCCGTTTCTGCACTCCGACAAGGTGATTCCAGAGCGACTTGCTTCGACACAATGATCGACTTCAACCTTGCTCCCCCGTCGACTCTCGTGCCATCATACCTGTGTATCACGGATTTCGGCTGCAACGCAATAAGCACTCGCTACTCCTGTCAATCCAGCACAAGAGGTCCAAGCGTCCCAATCCATACGCAAATCACTGCAACAATTAGTTGAGCTGCAAGGTTAGTAGGACCACCTGGCTTGCAGTTGTGCCTTTCTCTTGTACTGAAACTACTCCCAGAGTTGCACTCATTTCTTCAGCCAGAGACCTCCCTTCAAGAGCGCCTCGACTCTCTTCAAGACTGGCTTGCAACTCATGGCTTTATTGGTTTGAACAAGCTAAAGTTTGTTGCGGGGCTTCCTGAGGGAGCAGGTGTTGTCGCTAAAGAAGACATTCAAGTGAGTTGCAACTATCTGGGGGGGTCGGTGATGGCGCTTGTGGACTTTGAGGACAATTCAAAGGGATGTCGCATGAACGGAAGTGACATCGAAATTAACTCATATCCCTGACCGACCCCCGAACCCAGCAAGACAGCGTGATTTGCCGCGTCCCAAGTGATCTCATTATGAGCACCGAGTCCGCACGCGAACACCCTTCCTTCAGTGAGTGTTTGCTTTCGAAGTATGGTACGGCACGAAGTTTGAGTGACCTTACTGTCAGAGTCTCTGCTCCTGACCGGTTATGCTTCCCTTCGCGCAATACCCCCTCTGTTGTTGGCGATGTTTCTCCTCTATGAGGCTTTGAAACCTGCCGCCAGTCCGTCCTTCTGGAAACCCTACATTGATTCCCTTCCAAAAGACTTCAGTTTACCTTTATATTGGGAAGAAGCACATTGGGAAGAAATGGCGGGCACCGGCATGATGAGTGAGTTCTCACCATATTGTGAAAGTTGGTTTTAAAGTAAAATCGTTGAATGTGTTTCAGTGAAGGCAATTGCTGATTTTCGCACATACCTGCGCCACTACCTCACACTTTATGAAATTTTTGCGGTACGACACACAACCTCCTTTTTCGACCTTGTCTCATATTGATACACGTTGAAGAATTCCTCTTCACCCCTCGTACCGCCAGGAGTTTTCACGTGGCACCTCTTTCGCTGGGCGGTGTCCGCCGTACTCACCCGTCAAAACACTATACCCGTACGGCTGGAATTGCTGAGCAAGGATGGAAAGGCTGCTGCGGGACGGCAATCCGGTCCAGAGCTTGCTTGGTGTCTCATACCGGGCTTTGACCTGTTCAACCATGAAGAGGGCGAGGCGAGTGAGCAATTGTAGTCACTTACAACCTCGTTGGACTTTTTGTGATATGCTGGTGGCTCTTTCTATCAGATCACAACATACTATGAACCGGACGCGGGAGCTAATGTCACTAGGGCACCCAAAGCAGTGAATGAAGGGCAACAGGTAAGTGTATTCACATAATTTTTGCCTCCACCGTTGTTTCGATCTTTGCGAACAATCTACCATAAGATTTACATCGCATACGGCAACAGGTCCAATTTTGAGAACCTGACGGTTACGGGCTTCACCACTTATCCCAGGACTCTTCCTTCTGACTTGGTACGCCTGCGACTCTCGTCTCCAGGAAGCTCCAATTCAACATCGGATCCCCAGCAACGTCTTTTGAGCGTTCGACGGCGAGCCCTGCTTGACGTGATGGGATTCGCGGAGGGACCATTTTTTGTCGACCTTCATCGGCCACCTCTCCGTGACAATTCCTCAAAGCTTATGTCCTTTGTCCGAGTATTTGTCGCCACAAAGGAAGAGCTGGAGCGGGACGAGATAGGAATTTCCACTAAGGTCAAGAGGGTTCGAGCAATTGTAAGTCGGATGACCACTACAAGCGCAATGGGTGAAGCAAATGAGAGACGTGCTGTGGAATGGATTCGTGGGCGATTGGCACTTCTTCGGCGTGGGTGGACTTCCACCATCGCCGACGATACAAGAGTCCTGGAGGAGCTGGAACGATGTGCGCCAGGAGAGCGGAATAGCACATGGCGTATTCGACGTGATATTGTCTTTGTGCGGAGAACGGAGAAGCAAGTCGTAGAAGAAGTCGAAAAGGAGGTGGAAGAACTTTTAGCGAAGAAAGGGTGAGCAGTGGAACTTTAGCAATGAATACACAAAGCCATCAATGTACCTTTTCACGAAGACGCCCCCGTCATTCACGGACTATCTTGTTCTTCCGGGCTTGGTAAGAGTTGAGAGCCCAGCACACCACTGACATTGGGTCCAAGGTTGGGCGGAGACTTCTCGATCCCCACGCCCATAGAAAATTCCCAGGTTTGTATTCCAGTTTGAGTGACACCTGCCATATCAATGAGGGCAATGTGCTGCATGTGGAAATTGGTAAGATGACTCGTTTGGACAACCACCAATCGGGGTTACCTTAACCATTCCATCTAACACATCAGCCTTGGATTTGGCGTCCTCCAAGGCTCGTCGAGCCGCAACAAGTACCGCAGTCGCTACGTGCGCCATTATCGTTGGCTGGCCCCCGAGCAAAATGTCCCAAATACTGGTTCATTCCGAATTCTAGTCCCGGATAGCACCCTCATGACAAGAGAAGCACTCACCGTTCCAGGCAGTCGGGTGGCATGATTGAAGAGAAGTACGAGTGAAACCAGCTTATGTGCAGAGACGGAATGATCGAAATACGGGCACAATCCAGGTAGAAAATGGAGAATCACCTTCCAGATAATTCCTCCAATTTCACTCCGAGGCTTCTCATTTTGTCAAGTATTTGGGGTCCTTGAGAGCTTTGTTGAAGCAGCCTATCCATCGTTATGACATAAGGTCTGATGCTCAAATCCCGTCTCCTTGAATCCAACACAACGTTCAGAATGTCGGGGTGGTTGTTGAGTAAGAAGTGCGAGAAAAGAAAGTAGGCGGATTCGTTCTGACGTTCAACAACAAGAAGGAAGGATCGAGCGAGATGCAACAGATTATCAAATGCCGGGTGCCGTGAAGAAATCTCCTTGAGCTGCAAAAAATCACAATGTCAGAGTGTATCAAAAAGGGAATATAAGCTGGTGGGATAGACGGCTTTTTCCGTCGCTCTTTTCGGAGTATGTCTTTTTGTATCATTGCGGCCGTTAAGGTAATGTAACCGTCAACGCGGTACAGTTGAACAAGTTGCAATCCTCTTCGAATAGCCAGTGCCGTCTACACGAAGCTTACCTTTCTGAGGCGACGTGGCGACTTAAGATTGCATTGAAGAATAAACATGTTTACCATTGTATGCTCTTCGGGTTCATCACTAGTTAACGAGAGTGACGGTCTTAAACCAAACCTGACGTGAAACATTAGCACTCACCCATTCGAGGGGAAGGCTAAGAAAGCCGCTTTCCTCAACATTGTGTATTGGACCAGTTTCTGCTCTTCTGCAAAAGGCCATAGCTCGCGGATTGTGGGAATTACCCCTGCCAGATTGAAGCAGCGAGCCGATTTCCGATTCAGAGTGAAAACGAGCAGTGCGAGAATGCGAAAAACATACCAAGGAGAGCTTTCCACACGGTCACCCGGTATATGTGTGGTATCCGCACCCAAAGGCACAATTTCTGCAGCTTTTCCACGTCCAACACTTCTTCTGCAAGGGACGATTCCACTTGAGGGAGAATTTCGACGACTTGTACTCCTAGTGTCCCGTAGTACGCTTTTCTGACATCACGATTCATGGATTGAAAACTAGTGTCAAGTGATAAGCCAGGCTTGTTCGGCTAAACCTTGGAACCAGTTGGGCAGAATTGGTGTCGACCTTCAAACATGTCTCACCACCATAATCCCCATCACGGCCAATCTCAGGACCGCGGTTTGATTGGCGATATCTTTAATGCCCTGACTCACTCTCAACCCCAGCAGCAGCAGCAAGGTGAGAGATTGTGTGGGTTGTGGTCGAACTCGTCACTAAGCAACAGGTTTTAGGTGGCTACGGCGAGAGACCGCTTGGTGCGTGCTTTTGCAATCTGGAATAATTTCCAATTTCCGTATTGGAGCGTGTTTTCATCTTGATCGGATCTCGTCCCCCTCCTCCCTACTTGAACTGGTATCTAGTGTCTGCCCCGAGCGATGACGCGTTTGCTCAGGCTATGGCCTCGATGGGACCTCCTCCTGGAAGCGCAAATTCATCATCAGGAGGATTTTCTGGTGGAAGTCAGATGAGCGGTGGTCAAGGTGGTCAAGGTGGTCTTGGTGAGCCACCCACGTGCTCGAAGCATTTGGTAGACTCCTTTACACAGCCCACTTTCTTGAAGTGAGTGCTCCGTCGGGCGATCCCTTCGCTCAAGCTATGGCAGAGATCGGGCCTCCTCCTGGTGGCAACTCTGGATCTGGTGGTTATGGGGGAGGAATCACCGGAGGAAATCAAACCGGGAGTGGAGGCTACTCTGGAGGTTCTAGCGGTTACGGGGGAGGGAATGCAATGGGCGGTGGAGGTGGCTTCGACCCTTCATCCCAGAGTGGAGCTGGTGGATATGGCGGAGCTGGCGGATATGGTGGCGCTGCTGGTGGAGGTGGCTTCGACCCATCAGCCCTCGGCGGAGGTGGTGGATTTGGCGGAGCTGGGGGTGGAGGTGGCGCAGGTAGGTCGTCAAATTTGAGGTTGCTGCTTGAATATATAGGGTTGAAAACAATTATCGTGTTTTAGACAGTGGGAGTTCCATGCTGTGTGGGTTTCCCCGTGTAAAA